CCAGAGGAGGAGGAGGTGTGAACCTCTTAAATCAAAGGTGCTGATAATGGGCTAGGAACAAGCTAATGAATAACAGGTATCAGCCTTTGGGCAGCAGCACCAAAGAGATGGCAGATAAAGTCAGCAGTCCTAATGAATGGATATATTTAAAATATTTTCACAACTAAATGAAAACTAACTGTAGTATCAACTTTCCTGTCCTCAAGTAAAATAACAAAAATATTTGTTTTATAAAAAAATTAGAGCTATTCAAAGTGTGATTTTCTGAAAGGATTTGATACTTGGAAGCAGAATATGCATAGAGAGCTTCATGCTTGTCTCCACCTACAGAGCAATTGCAGGTGTTAAAGTTGCTGTTAATAGTCCTGCAACCAGCAGTATGTGCTTGTAGGAGGGTTCAGTCACAACAGGTGAAATCATTAGCCCTTCTTGTCAAATACAGGAGCTGGAGTTGTCCCAAACTCTTTAGGTACTCTGCGTTCTACACTCTTGCCAGCTGAGAAACATACAAACACTAAGAGTAACTGCAGAGTCCCCATGCCAGCAACCGCACAAGTACACAAGACTTGCAGCTCACTAGTCTTGCAAGGACAAGCGTGTCATACAGTAGTAAAGACAGCGCGAAGTGAGGTTCATTTTTCTGCCTATGGTTTATGACTTTATTTATCATGTCTTGTGTTGTTTCATGAAGGTTTCTGGAAAAGTTTCAAATCAGACCTGTCTGCATTTTTTTCCTCAAGAGCAGCTAAACGCCAGTTACAATGCAAAATGCCAAACCAGCTAACTATAATAGGTTAATTCCCCCAGTGAGTCAGATTCAAGTAAAAGCTTTGACAGCAAGTCCTTGCCTAGGACAGGTCCTTCCCTCTGCCTTTTTTTTTTTTTCTCCCCAGTTGAGCACCTCTCAGGCCTGCTGCATTACAATCAATGCCCCTCAAACTCCTCTGCCCATGGGAAAGGCTCTTCTGCCACAGACTAGCAGCCCTGGCTCCTGCTGCTTCTCTGCGGCCTCTCCAGGTCACATAGCCCTTGCTGGCTTTGTCCTGCCTTCTCCCTTGCCATGCCCCGACTCCAGAAGCTGTTGCCTGTCGCACATGACTCTGCTGTGAGAGCAGGCAGTGCTCCCTCCTAAGAAGTCTTGGCTGACGGACGTTGCAAGACCCAAGAGAAAACGAATAACTAGCTTTTGTCCATGCTGCCCAGTTCCCAATGTTTAAATATATTAGGCAATACAAAATATATTCATATATTTTTGTATTACTACAAGAAAGCAACATGAAACCACTCTGTTATCCTCTACAGAAGTTTGCAGAGATCTGAGATAGGCTGAGTGTAATTTGCTCTGCTCAGGAAAGTTGGTGGCAGGATCCAGAGCTCACAGTGAAAAGGGTCAGGAGGCTGCAGGCAGGACAAAGGAGAAGGGAGAGGAAAAAGAGGAGCTAGAGAAAGGGGGAAATGGATGATACTGAGAGCATAAATGGTTCACAGGTAGCTAATAACTCTTCATCACCTTTTCTTAAAATAGCAGTGTTGCAGATGTAGGTAGCTGACTGCTCCCTGCAAGAGCAGTGCTGCAGGGCTGAGCCAGACTCCAACCACTGAGTGCTGCTTCAGGTGAGCGCTGGTGACAAGGCTGCTCTGCAAAGAGCCCACACCTGACAGAGCCTTGCTGCTGCACTCTGTTTTGATTTTCTGCCCACCACATTCATGGAACCAGCTTGCTCCTGACTTACTGAGAAGCAGCCTTTGACCTGCTGTGAACATCCATTTGCCCAAAAAGCGTAAGAGCAGGTGAAAATCAGATCACATACCAATTCCAGTAAAAATCATAGAGGCCAGGAGAAATAGGTGAAATAAATAACATAAGCAGAAAACCATCACACCTATTAAAAACAGATATTAAAAATATCTATTTTTAGATAGTAAGAGTAACCAATTTGGCTAAGAAATAGTGTGTGCAAACTACAAGAGACAAAGCCAATTAAGCAGATAATAAAGATTGTACAGAAGCTAAATGAGTTCTTTGAACCATCCCTCTATTATTCACAATGGGAGAAGGGTATAAGTTCTTCTGGGAACTACCTTCAGGTAATCAAGGCATAGCAGTGGCACCACAGCCGCTCTCTGAGGAACAAGCAGAGAGACTTGTTAGCAGTCCCTCCTCGGGGCTGAATGTTGTTCTCCTGCAAAAGGGGAATGAAGTGAAAACGAAGTGGCTGAGCTAACAGAAGTGCTGCGCAGCAGGATAAGGCCTATGGCCTAGTGCATGGATATGCTGGCTCATGGCTTTTTAAAGGGAATTTGCAGAGCACTTCTATGGCTGCAGAACAAAGTAAAAAAAATTAGATAGAACAATTATTAAAAACAGATCCATAGAATGTATAGAGGCATCTAAGCGAACAGAAAAATGATGGAAATACCATTGCTGCTACTAACAGTTTCTAGAAATAATGGCATGTAGGGTGCTAAGTATCATGAATGGTCCAGAAAGCAAGGGAAATTCTAGCAAATTTATTTATTTATTGAGACTATATCTGTTGTCCTTCTGATAGCAGTGTCTGCCTTCCAGAAAAGAACAGTGCTTTCCCCTCTTGCCTTTGTGGGACAGCTCACTAAATAGATGTTTTCAGGAAAGTAAAACTTGCCACACAGCAGATTAATTAATCCCCCCCCCTTTTTTTTTAACACCTTTGCTGACACAATTACAAATATTAGCATTTTTGAAATTTTTAAAATTGAAAGCTTTTAAAAGTTGACACGAATACCCGCCTGCTGCAGTGAAAGGCATGCTCTGTCCGAGTGCCTCTCTCCTTCCCTGCAGGAAGGAATTTACAGCCAGTGGGCCAAGTTGCCATTTTTTTGAGCTTCCTGTTTGAAGAGGAAGAACCCATTTTTGAACACCATGGGCTTCAGGTTGCTCCTACACTAAAATAAATCCAAAGTAGCTTCATAAAATCAAAGGAATTACAGAGTTCTAAGTGAGGTGAGAATAAAGAACAAAAACTGAGTTCAAGCTGGCTTATTCCTAAGCCTTTTTGGTGGCTCTTTATTACTGTGTTACTCATGACAAGCTAATAATCACAGAAACTATATAAAGCCTTGAAATTGGAATGAATTAAGCGAGTTTAACAAAGTTCCTATCTCTCTCTTAAGACAGATTTTGTGAATAGATTAATGTAAAGTAATGAGAATGCACTTGAATGTCCTCACCCAAATGCTACATGCTTGCCTCTACTGCATTTCTAACATTAGATTAGCCATGTAAACACCCTTTTGCTATGCTCTGCATACAGCAGGCAAACACAGCTTAAATTCTCCATGGCAGATTTCCATAGATGCCTTTTTTTATGCCTAGCTCTTTGTAGGACAAAACCAGGTAACCGTTTAAAATAATTATGTACAACTCTACTTAGTTAGAACCATTCTTGATGAAATACTAAGAAACTTCAGATTTCTTAGAAACACAAGCTCAAAAAGCTATTTTTGCTACCATGTTTTCATAGCTTCTACTTAAAATGCTTCTTCTCTCCAGTTATGTATTTCTACTGAACGTCCTTTTTCATTTGACAAGCGTTGGTCCCACTCACTCCCATGCCTTGAATGTTGAACAAAGCAAAAAACAGTTTGGTTTAATTGCCAAAACAAGAACTGTTTATCCAGGCATTTATTAACTGGGGGAATCCTACATATTCTCATTTGCCATTTTTCATAACATGTGCCTCTCTCTGTAACCACACTCCTGCCTGAAATAAGAGGTCTGAGTGACCACCCCTTTACCACTCACCATCTGCAAGGCACAAATGGTCTTCCTCTCCATACACAGCTGAGACCTTTTATAGTCAACAGTGCAATTTGTTGCCTCCACTGGTGTCAGCAGACAAGAAACATTTGTAAACTGATAACAAAAA